TTCCATCTGGACACACTCTTGCACAATGATGATATGAACATACAGTTTCCCCCAAACTGATAGGCTTGTATCTTTAAGAGTTAAAACAAAGTGTTTTAACATTTCTAGAAAAACTCTTTCCACCCTGAATGCTATGACGCATAGCTGCACCAAAAGGACGTTGTGCTCTCTCCATGAGTCAGCAGGATGTGGAGCCCCTGCCCACCTGGACTCAGAGGCAAGGCTTCCACGTGGAGGGCCCACTCTGCCATGCAGTCCACGTTGTAATTTTTCTAGAGCCTCCTCTGACACTTGCAGTTAGTTCTCATGGCTCGGTCTGCTTTAGAACCTACTGCTGAAATGGCCAAATTTTAAGGTTCAGTAACCTGTGCAATGCATACTGTTGAATTCAACAAGCTCAGCCTCAGAAGGAACTCCCACTCCACTGCTTGCAGGAACAAAGTCTGTCATAAGTCAGAGGGTTTCAGACACAGAATGATATATGTGCTCAGTTCAGATCCTGGCCACCCCCAAATCACCAGATCACCATGGATAAGCTGCTTAGCCTGGATGAGCTCTATCAGGCTTCCATTCTGCAAATGACACAAGAGACACAGAAATACTGAATTCTATGAAAGTTTCTGGGTTGAATTTATACAAAATGAACAAAGTACAGTTGACACAGGTAAATGGTTCTGTGGCCAGACAGACTTTCTTCAAAGGTGGCAAGGGGACAGATAACACACCCTCCTCCTTCCAAGGGAAAGCAGCCAGCATGGAGGCCAGGGTTCAGCTGGTCCCCAGGGAACACTGCTGGCTTGGGGAGGCTCCTCCTCCATGAATGGACAGTAGAGCCATTGCAAGGCTCCTCTGTGCTCTCAGCCTCACAGCCTCCATGGGGTTCAGGCAATGCCACACACCCAATAAATAAATGCTTGTTGAAAGCTCCAGTGAATGAAAGGAGGATGGAACACAGGTCTGAAAGATCAAGCTGTTTCCGGCCTCCTCCTCTGTGGGGTCCATTCACAGGAGCAACATCCCACCAGCCCGGTGCATCTCGCAGATGAATATTCATGTGCACAGGGAGGCAGTTATAGCCATGCAGAGGTCACCAAGAAGCCAGCAGCACCACCTGCTGCTGCTGGGGCGGAAGACAGGGCTCTGTCCTAGTCAGGATGGTGGGCAGAGAGGAGGCCCGGGCTGGCCAAGCCTTCTGAATCACCAGGCTGTGAGGCCTCCTCAGACCAGGTGGCTGCTTTGTGTGTCTAGAAGAAAGGAGGAAGTGCCCTGCTGACCTGGCAGGCTCCAATTTCCCTCCTCTTGGCCATTAGCATTTCCTCCCAAGGCCACTTGGCCCAGCAGCCCCCTGTACTGCTTTTGGAAAAAACTGGTAATGACAGGGCCAACTACAAATGGTGGCTTTGAAGGGGCCAGGGAGCTAGCTCAGTGGTACAGTGCCTGCCTGGCATACACGAGGCTCTGGTTTTGATCCCTAGTACAGCAAAGGAAAGGAAAAACAAAAAAAAGATGGACAAGTGGTGATTTTAAAAGTGTTTCTTTCATGCTGAGGGTGCGGCTCACAGTGCTATGGGAACAAGAATCTAATCTTTCTAATTTATGAATGCATCTCAGGACTGAGGGGTGGCCATGAAAAGGCACACGATTGGATTTTACCAGAAGGTGAATGGTAAATCCAACCACACTTCTGCTCTGGAGCTGGGGAGATGGCATAAGGAGCAAAGTGCCTGAGAACATGCAGCCCTGAACCTGGAGCTGGCTGAGGCTGTTCTGCTCTGGTAGCACTGCCTCTGAGAAGTCCTCCAAGAATGCTGTGTTATAGCATCTTTTCCTGTTGAAAGCAGAGAGTTGGGACTGTAAAACCGGCTCTGCACAACACTGAGAGAATGATGGCACAGCTATGAAATGCCTTATTAGTGCCACATTATTTGGATTTTTCTAAAGGCCTGGAAATGCTCACGACACACAGCACAAGCTGTAGAAAAATACATGTGTGCATAAATATATACACGCACACATGCAAAATCATACTGACAACATGGCCTCAGCTGTGTAAAAACATAATACCAGAAAAAAAAAACAGGAAGCAAATAAGCTCACATTCTAACCATGGCTCTCTCTTGATGCTGGAATTGGGGGTGACTTTTCCAGGACATGCCAGGGCCACAGAAGGACTTTGTGGCAATCCAGGATGAGGTGATAGGGCCAGGATGTGATACCATAAGCATTTAGCCTGCATCTAATTTACTGTGGGACCCTGGAGAAATGAATAGCCTTTCTGGGCTTTGATGGTCTGTTTCCTTTTCCAGTCACTGGTTAGAATGCCAAGTATATCAGAACCAAGAAGGCCCTGAGTGGGCAAGTAGCAAGAAATGGCAAACAAGCAGACAAAAGCCCCATGAGGCCATACTCAGAGAGATTTTGATTAACCAACCAGCTGATTTTTTAAAATCACTGACAACATTGAAATATTAATAGATTCCAAAATTTTGGATTTCAATCTTCTCTTTCAAATCTGGATTCACAATTACCAGAAAGCAGAAGCAGCCCAAATATCCATCAGTTCCTGAATGGTTCAACAAAAAGTGGCACAGTCATCCCATGGAATATTATTCAACCACAAAAAGGAATAAAGAACTACCATCTGCTACAACATGGATGAACTTCAAAAGCATGCTAAATAAAAGAAGCAAGTCACAAAAGAGCACATGTTGTATGATTCTATTCATATGAAATGTCCAGAAGAGGCAAATCCATAAAGACAGAAACCAGTTTGCTGGCTGACAGAGGCTGGATATGAGGTTTCTTTCTGGTGATATGAACATTCTAGAATTAGAGAGTAGTGGTAAGTATACAACATTGTGAGTGTATTAAAAGCTACTGGGTTGTCTACTTTAAAATGATTTAAATGGTGAATTTTATCTCTCTTTTTTAGAAACTGAAAAGCAAGCCCCAGGTACATTCCCACAGGATACTCAGTGCCTCTCCTCAGTGGCCCGTCCTCCTCCAGCATATGGCAGCCTGACATTCTTCTAGCTTCCCACCCTGGAGGTGGTACTGTCCACACCCACCAGGGAGACTCCACAGTTGGACCTCAAGGATCCAGTCCAGGACCCAGACCTCTTCACCAGCCAACAAAAGGACACGACATAAATTGGTCCTTTAAAAATTACTATTGTTCTGTCTCCCCCGACCAGTAGAACTCATCCCTGGTAAACAAATCAACAGAATGCACAAGTAAAGTGTGAAAGCCAAGTCTCCCTCCTACTCCACCACCATGGAGTGCAACCTTCCTCAACCTCCCTGGCTCTTGGTCGCCGTACTTTCTTCCAGGCCGATAAGCTCCTCCTCAATGAGCCATCACACAACCCTGAAAGATACTACACAGTCTTTCCCCAAAACATCCCATCCATGACAAAGTGGCCATTGTTTGACAGAAGAATCATTTTTCAAATTAATAAAGAAAGTCAAAGAAACTCTCTGGAAGGGCCTACTGTCCCTGGGACACATTGTGTATAGCTCCAGCTGACCTGCCTCACACTGTCATGTGTGCTCAGCAAGACCACAACCACCACAGGCTCCCTAGTGCACAAGCACACAGGCCACGGACTGTGAAAACCAACTTCTAAGCAACCCTGGAATTGGTTCAGTGAGTGAGAACTCTGGATAATTCTGCCTACCAAAGTGGGTGTGGGGCTCTGTGTGGTCACCAGGACCAACAGCAATGCCAAAGGGCTGACACCACCTTCTGGACCAAATTCAAGCACTCAGCAAGGCTGAGGTCTGAGTGACCTAGATGCCCCCCTCTCCCCTCAAACCTCCCCTGCTGCCCACTTCACACAGCATAGGTTCCTGCACCTGTAAGACTCTAACATACCTCGCCCCGGGCCTTCTGATGAACAGAAAACAGCTGTCTCTTACCACCTGTCACCTGTTCTTTACTGGAGACTCTTGGAAACAGCCCTCCTCCAAGATCTTTGCTGCTGCACACCCTCAGGCCTTCTGGGATGCCTCCCACCCCTGAATGCCCTCAAAAAACCTCTGTGGAAGCCTGACTCCACAGAACAGCTCTTCTGCTGTGTTTCCATTCTACCCGTACCTGACTGGAACCTGAAAGAAGGGACCATTCATTACCTGTTCGTCTCAGGGTCGTCACATGGCAAGACAGAGCCTGGCACTTGGCACACTTTAGCAAACATCCAGGGAACTGAGCTGAATACAAAAGATGGTTCTAGTTTGGGAAAACAAGGACTCTCAAGAGATACAGGCAAGATGCCACAAAATATGCAGTTCAGGGTTCCTAGAAAGAAAGCCCCCAGATCAGCTGTGGCCAGCACAGTTCAGAGCACCAGGAAGTTCCCAGAACACCAGGCTAGGAAACCCCCTTGAAGCCTGCAAGGCCAAGCCCCTGCCCAGCAATTAAAAAATTCATGTGCCAGAATCATCACCGAGAGCAAACTAAATCTGTCATGTTCCTGTTTAAAATCTCCTGCCAGATATTCTCTTATACTTAACATTAAGCAAAAACTTAGAAATTCACTTACTCTATTATATTGATTCACTATTCCCTTAAATAACAAGTAAGAGCTATAGCAAATGTATCCCCTCTTCATTAGCAGCAGTTTTACTTACAGCAACTTGATCTAGATGGTTCATGCTCTGTACTGCTGCTTCTTAAGCTGGGTGCTAGGTGTGATTCTGAAGCAGAGAGAGCTGATATGTGTCCCACAGTAGGGACAAGTCACTTCTAGTGTGTGTGAGGCAGGGAAGAAGCCAGCATTTCTTGTACCCAAGCAGAAAACCATTCAAAACACCAAGAAAGAGTGCAGTGCCTTGATCCCCAGGGAAGAGGGCAAGGGCTTCCTGGGCATCACTGCTAGGAACTGTACAGCCTGTACCCCCACCACAATGGACTGGGACAGGTGAAAGACAGCACAAAGCCCTGCCTGTTCCCCTCACCCATCCAGCAGGCAAACACAGGAGACCAAGGATGGAGTCTTTACCAAATGATGGCCAGGGGTCCGAAGTGCTCGAGGGAGCCGCCGAACCACCCCAGGGGTTGGTCTGGTTAGCAGAGGCTGCTGGGCCCCAGGGCTCTGCTTTCTGGGCAACAGGGCCTGAACTGGGGAGAGCATCCATTAAATCCAACAGCGTGGTCTGCGGTGGGTGGGAGCCGTGCTTTTGAGACAAAAAGAAGGGGACAGTTTTATTTTGTTACAGTCACATCAAGTACCCATGCATTAGCCATAAATCTCACCAGTCCCTCTTACTATATACAGTAGAGCCCCTTCAAGAGGGGCCCAGCAGGATTGGGAAATTAAGCCATTTCCTCTCCTGCCCCATCCTCACCAGCTCTTCAATATTACTACTTCCTAGGACAGCTCGGTTCCAGACACACCAAACTATTTCCTGTTTGCCAAATTCCTCACAGGCTTTCAGGGTCCTAGGGGCTCTGAAAACTTCCCCCCAAGATGGCACTGGCTTTTTCCAGGGCTTTGACCTACCCCAAGAATAACATCCCTCTCTGCTCAACTTGCGTCTCAGTTGCCAGCCACCACTCTGGCCCAATGACGCTCTCTCCTGGGGGGAGGGGATGCTCCCCCCACTCCCATGAGTACCACATCCATCATCCCCATCCCTGTTATGACAGGGAAGGCCACTAGAGCCCCCATCCTTGTGGTGGCAGTGGTGGGGTCTGTATCCTTACTGGACAACATTGATGATGAGCTTGTCAAAAGCAAAGCCATGTCCTGGTCATCTCTATGTCAAAGTGTGGAAGCCTGGCACAGACCATCATAGTGGCAATGATGGAGACCAGTACTACTCCAGGGCTTATCCTGGCCCAGGAGTGCCCCAAAGTACTGCCATTAAATTAATTTAACAGCTACCTTAACTTCAGGAGGCAGGCACCATTGTCATCCTCATTTTATAGATGAGAGTACTCAGGCACTGGGACACTAAATGTCTTCTCTTAATTTGGGTATTTTTCAGTATCTCTTACTTTGCTCTTGCCTGCCACAGACATGCAGGTTATTTGTGGAATCTGGAGAACCCACTGTGCGTCCCACTCACCTGCAGGGTTCAGGGATATTTAGGGCAACAACTTGCACATCTCAAATATTTATCTCCCAGCAAGCTTTTACCTCTTTTTTTTTTGGAACTTTGACTGTGTCTCTTCGGCTTTCTTCTAGGGCCATCTGTAATCTGAGGTCATCACCCCGTCTGAGGCGTTCTTCCTGTAGAGGGACAATGAGACCTTGAAGTTGATGGTAATGATAATAACATCACAAGAGAGAACAAAGCCACCCTGGCCAGCAACAGGAAATGCATACTGTAGTCTGTGTCATTTCAAAGGACTATGTAAAATCAACCGGTAAAACATAATTAGTTTCCAATCCCAAGTGTTTGTACTTAGCAGGCTCTTCCATTACTGTACCAGTGTGACTTCAACCTCCTTGAGGTCCCATCAAACTGGGGAAAAAGAAGGCTTAATCTAAAATATTTTTTCTCAAAATGAAAACGGCTTTATAATTCTTAATACTTACAGAAGCAGTAGGTCTTCTTATAAGCCATACATCTGACTACCCAGGAATGAGTCAGAAAGAGAATGAAAATCATACATCATTCCATTTCCCACTGCAGATGCTCCCAGAAAATTAGTGCATAATTCTGTGACTAATTTTAACAGAAATGATTCACTATATTTATTTAAGGAAAAGTCATTACATGCATAAGACAGGGTTGCCCTAGCTTTATTTGTTTGTTTTCAGTATAGGAGATTGAACCCAGGGATATTTTGCCACTAAGCTACATTTCCAGTCCTTTTTAATAGTTAATGAGACTGGTCTCACTTGCTATTCTCCTGCTTCAGCCTCCTGAGTTGCTGGGATTATAGGCATACACCACTACATCCAGCTTGCCTTTGCTTTTATATATTATAATCATTAATTCTATCATATTCCCTATATTTTACTTGTTAAAATAGTAACTAAAAATGGATCCAACTATCTGCCCATCCCTGTGCTTCTCAGTGAGCACTTCTGAGCACCTTTCTTCCAGGGTGTGGGCTAGAGAGCCACGTGCCTCTACATGGATAGACCACTGTGAGGACACAGGCCATGAATGAAAAGGTCTATTGTTGTTGAGCTTGAGGATATTTCAGTTACAGACACACAAAAAAGGCCAGACAACCATCCCAACATTTTCTCTGAAAGCCAGCTTCTAAATGAGAGGTATCCCTGAGCTACCCTGGCTCTATCTACACTTTTTTGAAAACTGCAACCAAAGTGATAACTTCTAATGTTACTTTAACTGCTTCTTCCCCTTTTCCCCCATCTTATAGTAATGCATGCTTATTAAAGAAAAAGGGGTACTGGGGGAAAAAAAAATCCTAAAACTACAACATGGGACTGGAAGTGTGCCTCAGAGGTAGACCGTTTGCCTAACATATGAAAGGATTTGCGTTCCATCCCCAATACCACCAAACAACAAAAATAAATAAATAATACATATTTCTGTCATTGAAAATATGAGCACTTTCATTTCCAGGAAAACTTACTTCTAGCCTTCCCCCAACCCCGCCGGGCACCTGCCATTTGCCTAACTGCCTCCACAGGGGCTAGGCCTTCCTTTCTCTACAGCCTGCATCTCCACGCCTGACCTGCCCGACCCTGGAGGCTATGTTCACTCAAGGGACCCTGGACACTGACTGTGTCTGCATATTTGAGTTTGGGAAGCACTTTTTCTTATTTTCTCCTTTGGCAATGTCATTCCTGAAAACCTTTCCTAAATGTAACTTTGCACAGGCCTCTTTCTGCACTGGGGTCAGTGGATAACAGGAACACACTTGTAGCCATATGAAGTAAACTCACCAAGCACATCAGAAAGTCTTGAAGAAGGACTCCCTGGGAACCACCAGGAGTCCATGCCCCATCCCCTGTCCAGAAATCACTGCAGTGAAGGCACACCTGGGGCACTAACCTGCTCAGCCACTTCTCTGCTCATGGCAAGTGCCAGCTGCAGCTGCAGCTCCTCTTCTCCACTCGTCTGTGGTCGAGCCTGCTCCAGCTCAGAAGACACCCGGGGGGAGGTGGCTGTGGAAGAAGGCAGAGTTACCACAAGCAAAGACAGGGCTGTCCCTCTCAAGCCTAGCAGTCCCCTATTCAGAGCACATCCCATTCTCAAACCTTCATGGTTTGGCAAGAGCCCAATGATACAGGAGGAGGATAGAAATGGACTACGGATATTCCAAGGTTAAAATCAAGTGATCATCATCAAAACTGGCATCACAACTACTCAAGCCACACGGCACCCATGGAGAGAAGAGGCTCTGGGCTGTAAGCCCCAGCTGGCAGTCAGGTCTCAGGAAAATCAGAACTTTGGTCTTCACTGCTCCAAAGAGAGGGACTAACTCAAACAGAGACCACGATAGTATTCTGGAAGTGCTGACCTTAAAAATCTCCTGCAGTCAGGAACTGGGCACTGGGCACTAAGGCTCCCTTCAAGTTGTAACAAGGTTTGAGAGCTGTACTTCCCATCTTATAGTCTTAAGGACTGGTGAAAATACAGCCCACCTATTTCTGTGGTGACCCTGAACATTTTTGTTTTGAAACACTGTACACAGACTAGAAATGAACACAGGTGCAGGCATTTTTGTGGAAGGTACTCAGCTAGTTTGAACACTTAAAAGCAGCTCTGGAAAGACAGTTTTTACTAAAGGGATGAGATGTGAATTTCTAGCAGATATAACAAACCCCCAATGAAGGAGTCTTTACAATCACAAGACCCAGGCAGGGACTCCCTGGGAACATGCCCGCACTCCACAGGATGCTTGTGGATCAGGGAATGTAGATGCCTCCAGGAACTGATGTAGAGCTTAGGGAACATGAGTCTAAGTGTTCCATCCTCTGCTCCATCCCAGCTCTTCTAAAGTTCTCAGAGCAAGGCCTGAGACAATGTGGGACTGGAAGTGTGATGGAGCTACTGGCTCAGCAGGTTCCTGGCTCTGGCCTCCCCTGGATTCTGTGTAGCTCAATGTACCCACCTCCACCTCCTGCTCCTGGGTTTGCAGATTTAGCCTCCCTCCAGGATATATCAGCCCTCAGGCTGGGCAAACTCTCTCCATCCCTCAGTGCACTTACCCCAGACTGGCAAATACCTACCTGCTGAATGATAGGCGGATGGACAAAGAATTCAATTTCATGGCTTAGGGGTAGTTAGTTGAAAATGTTGTAATTGTGTATTAGTTTACTTCCCTCTTTCATAATATGCATACTAGCAAACCTAACCATCAGGATTTGCTAACCTAAATATTGCTTCTACATTTCCATTCTAAACGTGCTTCCTAGGATCTGCTTTCTTTGGGGGAAAGTAAAAGGTCAGGAATGACTCATGACAAAGGCAGTTTCTAGATGGCCAGGCCCTGGCTACAGTGAATGAAACAGGAGAAGAGGCCTAAATGCAGTTTGGGCCACAGAGTTAATCCACAGAATGATCAGGCCAGGTAGCCAGAGAATGCCTCAGGCAGAGGGCTGGGGTGGGATGGGAGACTGTAAACTTTTCTCTACTGTAATATTGCTAAGCAATTTTACTTAATTTTTTAAAAACATACATCAATAAGATTTAACATGGAATAATACTGGGCATGAAGCATGGTGTATTTGTTGTGATTTATTGTCATCCCCTGGACCCCCCAAAAAATGTCAGCAAGCAATTACCTCATGTCTCCACTAATCAGTACCAACAAGCAAATAAATAAATAAATAGGCAAAAAAGCAAGAAGCTGCAGTTTAAAAAAAAAAAAAAAGTTATTTCTCTAAATAAAATAAAGTCAAACCCCATCCTAGTACATTACTTCAATTACATTTTCCACTGTTCTTCTTTAGAAAACAGCTAGATAGTTCTGGAAAGTCCTTTGAATACATCTAAATAATTAGATTTCTTAACAATACACTGAAACAGTTTGGGTTCATTTTGTTTCCAAAGTCGCAATGCCAGCTCAGGTACTGGCTTTCCTATGTTCAAGAAACAAAGATGCTGCCACCTTGACTGAAGGGAAAAGGCAGCCAGATGTGCTGGGGATACTTCTGGGGGGACTCCCATCCACTAAGCTCTGTTCATGTCCTTCATACCCAGCAGCTTCTTGGCGGCCTCTCTGATGATAAAGAATCTAAAGTGTGATTCACAAAACCCTAGATTTATATAAGACACAGCATCTGACATGCCCCATTTTTGAACAAATGAAGATCATGAGTGAATAAAGGAGAATGCCCCTTACCAACCTACAACCCAGAAAGAGTACTGTGGAAAATTAGCATCACCCTGGCAGGAAAAGCTGCTCCTTGCCCACATGGTCAGAGTCAGCTTGTGGTTCTGAGCAAGACCTGGTCCAGCAAGGAGGCCTCCCTTGCCCCTGAGCTGTGAAGCACACCTGCAAGGCCAGATTCAAATGCAAATGTCTAAGCTGGTTTCTACCATCACCACCACTGGAGCAGTGAGCATAATGCAAAGCCGGCAAATTCGGAAATAGTTCACCACATCAATGTGGAGAATCAAGACAAAGGGTATTCCCCCTCCACACTGTGGTTTTTATAAACGGATGCAGAGCTCTCAGCTCCACAGGTGGCAGAATTCACAGCCACCAAACCCTAAATATCAGCTGCACACAGCGGGTCTCCAGCAGAGATGCCACTGCCTTAGTGACAGCATCTCAGTCCACAAAGAGCCTCTTGTGCCTGGGCACATGACAGGGAACACAGATGTCATTGTGAAACAGGCCTGAATGGACCCTTCTGACCACCTGAGCCTGGCCCTGCTATGAGGATCTGAAGGCTCACAACTCACAGGGACCCAAGGAAAGAGCAAGAGCCACTCTCTATATGCTGACTGCTTCCTCCCCATCACTCTTTGGAGGGAAGAACAGGAATTGTTAGTTTATGTTAATCATACCACCAAATGCATCATGGACCTTCTCCCATCTAAGACAGGCTTCTGTATTACCAGTTCCACCTGGAATAGCTTCAATGTGGCCAAGAATTGTAACCACGGGTGGGACCACTTTTATTTTTTCCAGTCTGTTACAGAATATTTTCCTCAAAATTCAGTCTGGCAAGGAAGATACAAGAAACACCCTGTTCAGATGGGCCAGGATCTCCCAGATTCAATTCCACCCTGCCTAATCCCAGGATACCCAGGTGGGACCTGGGTGCCTGGTACCCTGTGCTGTGGGAAGGTTTTCCTTTCCCTCATGTGCTCCTAAAACTGAAGTCAAGAGATTTCGTACTGAAGATGATTCAGTTGGCTAACTTCAGGTACTTTTGAAAGAAGTGAAGTCAAATTGATTGAAAAAAAAACAGGAAATCGCTTCTTATCAGCTATATTTTGCAAATTTTCCTAGAAAGTACTGAAGCCACTCACATAATATTAAATAAAGGGAATAGATACTGTGTGTGGGACAGGAGCTGTGAGGTCCCCAGCATGACTCTGTGAGCCTCACACAGACCCCAGGGGAGGCAGAGGAAGGGACCTGACCCTGTGTGTTCTGGGTTTGGTCTGGTGATGGTAGGCACACAGGTGTTTTGGGCAAGACTGCAAGGTTGTCAGGCCTCAAAGACCCAAGAAGATCCATGTGTGTCCAAGTGATGCTGAAATCCCTTCTGCCCCCATGCATGTTAGCTGGGGAAAGACCAGCTAGTAGAAAGAGTACTATCTGGACAAATCTTGTTTCTACCATTGACCAACAGTGGAACCACATCCAAATGGCTGACCTCTCTGAGCTTCTGCTCCTACTTCTGTGAAATAGAGACCAACACTGTTTATGGGAGGGGTTAGGAGTACTCAGGACCCAGCTAGACCTTTCCCCAGGATCTGAAGTTTACCCCAAGCTGGTACCCTCTTCTCCAACCCAGGATCCAGAGCACTGTCAGGCACCCACATACTCCACCTCACACAGCAGAAAACCTGCCTTCCTGGCCTCTATGGGAACAATTTGGGCTCTAGCCTGGCTGGTCTCTGACCTTCTCTTTCTGCATGGATGGTGTCCCTTAGAGGAAGGGAAGGAGGAGCCCATATTGAACCCAGGACCAGCTTCCTCCATTGGATGAACCAGTCTCCAGTCCAAATTCCTTCCTCATTACTGAACTGCAGGGGAATCCATACTCAGTCTTCCTCAATGTTGTGACATCTTCCTGTGATCCCCATGTTACTCCTAAGTCAGTGATGACTTCAGCCACTGAGGATACTCCCATCCAGCAGCTCTTGCCTGAGCTGAGGCTTCTAAACACAGGGGATCTTCCAGAGCCCTCACTTTGTCTAATCACAGGGAGGAGCAGAAAGGATTGCTTTTAATTAAAAGAGATATGAGAAAATAATGTTACTGCCTACCCCCAATAACATTAAATTAAAAAAAAAAAGAAAGAAAGAAAAAGGAGGAGGAGGAATATAAATACATGGGGAAAAAACCAAGGAGGTATAAAATGAGAAGCACCCTAAAGCTGGACCCAGCCAGATCAGTGGCTAGCCGTAGGGCAGATGTAAGTTACAACAAAGGGACAGGCCATGACCGCCTCCTGCCATGTGGCCAACCCAGGACCCCCAGTGGTAGGATGGCTGCCTATCAGGTGATGTCACATCACCACCTAGGGCTGCCCCAGCAAAATGCTGATGTGAGTGGAATTAAGGCTCTATATCTGATTTCCAGATCACAGGAAGTTCAGGGTGAGAATCAAACTAAGCAAGGCAAGAGGCAGCAGACAGAGACTCAGGCCAGGACTAGACCATAAGCCTGTCAGGGCCCTGAAAAAAACTAGGATGAGCTGAAGAGGCAGGACAACCGAGAAACTCATAACCCTAGGTGTTCTTGCTTTGGGCAAACCAGTGGCAAGGGGAGTAGGATATTACCAATTCCTGACTTTTTGAGGTGTGAAGTGATTTTGTGACTCTTCTGGAATAGACATCCTCAAATTTTATGGGTGGGGAGTGACGATGCCCATAACTTATTTTTTAATACTTCAGCATAAAAGGCAATGAGGGCCGCTCCTCTCACCCTGCACCCACAGCGCTGCCCACAGGAAGCAGCTATTCATTTTCCTGTGAT